TAATTGAAATCGTCACAGGAAAGAACGAGGCATAGACTGTCTTACAGTTCCTCGCAATAATTCTACAATTCCACGAAGCGAACGAAAGATTCTCTTTCGATTCGAATTCAGCTTGTCCCCGCACTGACTTTCACTTGCAGGGAACAAGATACGAACAGGAGGTCGTATCCTGCTAGCGAATTACGCTCCGGCAGTGGCCAATTGTTGGTCGACCGCCGGTTGAGGGATCGGCACATTCATAAAGGACCTGCAGTGGATATTGGAGCTTCAGCCGATACTGCAGAGTTCCGCGAAAGATAAGCGTTTCAGGTTTCCCTGGTACAGGTGCACGAGAAATACGTGCAGTTTGTAAGCGTACTGAGCTTGTGCATGCCGGTAGGAGTTCAGCTTTACGACCGGAGCTTCCGCGTACAGCCACAGTAGCTGTGCGTGCAATTGCAAGCGGCGTACTGCAAGCGTACTGTTTCGGTATACCGAAATTCATTGCGGATAAATTAAGGCAACGACGGAAAGAGCATTCTCTTTCCTATAATCCCTCACAGTCCGCGGCTGATAATCGGTCGTTACGAAACAGTGATTTCACTGCGCACGAATCCATAAATCGATTATCAAACAACGATGGCCACCCCAAAGAAGGACATTCTAGGAGGAATGCGATTAGATGCATTCATTATAGATCATCTAGAAAGGGGTAATCGTATTGGTAATATTAAAACCAATATGAAGAAGAAATCGAAGACGGAGTACACTGTGGACTATGTCCGAGCCCAACTCGAAATACTCGAGGAAGAATGGGACAGTGCTCAAACCCGCCATGCACATATACTTGTAGCGGTAACCCAGGAGCAACGGGAGAAACTTAGCTATTTCAAAGCTAAACACATGGATGATTTCGAGAGAGTCTTCCACGAAACTGTTGGGTACATCTACGAGCAGATTCGGGCTCTCGAACGGCAAAAAGCGCAAAATGCGTCAGGCGAACACGCCGGACAAGACCCTGCCGCGTATAGAGCGTCCGTTCGTTTACCGGAACCGGACCTTCCGCGTTTCCGCGGAAATCATCTAGATTGGCCGTCTTTCAGCGATCTTTTCAGTTCAGCCGTCATTGATAATCCTTTGTTGTCGGACGCTCAACGATTGCTGTATTTAAAAGCTGCTTTGGAAGGCGACGCTTTGAGTACCGTCTCCTCGTTGGAGTTAACGAACGAGAATTTCTCGATCGCATGGGCAAGACTAGGAAAGCGTTATAATAACCCGAGGCTGATTCAGATAGCGTGGTTTAAGAAGGTATTTTACCTTAAGCCTATCAAGCACGACAACATAGAAAGCATCACGCAGATAACCGTCGGTTTGAAACAAGCCTTGAATGCGCTTCCTAAACTAGGCGTCCCGGTTGATCAAGTGGGCCCGTTCTTAGTATTTTACATTTCCAGTCAGTTCGATGATGAGCTACTGGCAGAATGGGAACGGACTTTCGATGATGTACGAAAGTTTCCCGCATTCAACGAAATGATGGACTTTCTTGAAAACAAGGTAACTGCACTCCTTGTGGCAAAGGTGATGCACGGTAAACCGACTTCCTCGAAATACGAGAAGAAGAAAATCAAATCCCATGCAACAACCGTGGACACACGGGCACGGGAATCATCATCTAATTGCTCGCTTTGTCGGAAGCAGCACCGAATAACGGACTGCAATGAATTTCGGCAGCGTGATGCACAAGGGCGTTATTTCTGGGTTAAAGCAAATTATATGTGCACCAGATGCTTGTCTGAAGGACATACATTTCCGTCTTGCAAAAGTACGAATGCTTGTGACAAATGTGGTGCATCACATCACACATTACTGCATTACGAACGTAAGACGCGTCAACTTAAAGGCAAGCAGGATACGCCTCGACGCGATGATCGTGGAGGAAAAAGGGAGCATCGTAATGCTCCGAATTCGAGGCGTGAATCCTAATTGGCGTCTACTAGTCAGCCGGTGTCAATGCACTGTGTTTGAAATTGAAATGGTGCAGTGCTTAAGAGCATAGCTCGGCCTGCAATTACTAACGTAATACGTGTTTCGAGAATTCGATTACGAATTCTCGGAAATATACTCGAAATTGAAGGAAATACCGACGGTTCCCGAGTATAAGAAATGGAATAACACTTCTTATGCTCGGTGCCGCGATGTAAACAGCGCTCCGCTCGGTAAACGTTGGTCTCCGCGTAACGGGATTTTTCGAATACGAATTATCGACGAAAGGTGTTTCTCTTTCTGAAACACCTTAATTAGACAGAGAGAAATTATACTCGATTTCTACGCCGCATCGCGGCGAAATAGCTTTCGTGGAAAGGAGACGCGGAGGCCCTCGTCATTCTGTTATAGACTTTCAAAACGCTCGGTTTAAAGATTATTTCGGAAAGAACGATTATCGTTCGACCGATCCTGATCTATTACGAGTGCATCCTAATTCGTAATTTGAGAAAGTAGGATTACCTCCGAATAGGAATATTCACGCTTCTAACGTGAATTCCTATTCGCGTAATTCATATTAGATTACGAATTATACAGGACGGAAAGATTATCTTCTAGAGTCATTTCCGGTTGCGCGATTCGCGCAAGAGGGGTGGTGTGTTTGAAGATCGGTATTTTAAAATTACGGAATAAGGTTTACGACGATTACTCGGCCTTGTAATATTAAACTTCTAATAGAGCGTTAAATTTAAAATTGACCGTGTATAAGAAACGGCGCAACGTTTCCTATACCGATGAGTCAACGCGAGCCGTAGAAAAAATAACAACACCGCTTGCCGGCCGGAATAACCAGTAACAAGAATTCGCATTCGAATTCTCGGAAAAGGTGTCTCGCTCTACTCACACAATACGTGATTGAAAAGGACAGAGTAATCCGCCGAGTACGCCGCACAACGGAGGATTAGTTTTCTTCGACAGGAAAGCCGGAGCTTCAGCCCTGTCTGCACATAGACATCAAAGTGGACAGATCGGACGATTGCGATAGCAATTCCCCAGTTAATTTACGATTGAATTTTAATTGAAATCATCGCAGGAAAGAACGAGGCATAGACTGTCTTACAGTTCCTCGCAATAATTCTACAATTCCACGAAGCGAACGAAAGATTCTCTTTCGATTCGAATTTAGTTTGTCCCCGCACTGACTTTCACTTGCAGGGAAGAAAATACGAACAGGAGGTCGTATCCTGCTAGCGAATTACGCTCCGGCAGTGACCAATTGTTGGTCGACCGCCGGTTGAGGGATCGACACATTCGTAAAGGACCTGCAGCGGATATTGGAGCTTCAGCCGATACTGCAGAGTTCCGCGAAAGATAAGCGTTTCAGGTTTCCCTGGTACAGGTGCACGAGAAATACGTGCAGTTTGTAAGCGTACTGAGCTTGTGCATGCCGGTAGGAGTTCAGCTTTACGACTCGAGCTCCTGCGTACAGCCACAGTAGCTAAGCGTGCAGTTGCAAGCGGCATACTGCGAGCACTGTTTCGGCATACCGAAATTCAATGCGGAAAAATTGAAGTAACGAAGGAAAGTGCATTCTCTTTCCTACAATCCTTCACAATCCACGGCTAATAAACAGTCGTTACCTTTAAATTAATCGAAACGTTCGTTCTTTTGTTTGTTTACATGGACAGACGGTAAATGTTCGGCCTCAGCCTTCAGATAAACAATAAGATATAACATCTGTATTTTTTTTCAAGGAATTGCCGATATTATCGACGGTTCAATAAACGTTATATATTCCAAAAGGAATTAAATATTTTTATTAATCTACCTAGCTTCCCTCTTTCCCGGTACCAGTAAAATTTTGTTGGGCTAAATCTCCTAACATTATTTTTCCAAAATCAATAAATCTAAAAGACAGAACAGTAAATTAAAGGACTGTCCTCTTAAATGAAGGACGCATGGTCACCGCAGATATAGAATGATTGGTGATTGTTGGTACATACAAAGGGACGATTTTACATCGAAAAGTAAGGTAAAAATATGAAATAGATGTCTTTCGCATGTGGCTTTCTTTGCGAGAAATTTGAGTTTAAATATTCAGTATATACGTGACCTTGTCTAAGTCTTATGGTCTGTTCACATTATTGTAATGCAACCGTACCGTAAAAAAATCTTCGACGAAATTTTGAGTTTCAGAGATGCCTCCGCCATAAGAAACAGTATCGTAGCAGAAATTTGAAAGTATAGAGAAATTTGGAGGACCCGGCAACTTCTTCCCCAGATTAGCGCGAAAGTATGGGAAGATATAGGCTTTTGTGTAAGTGGTACCGTATACTTATTTAGATAGAGAAAGAAAATAGAAGACCTCTTTCTACCTCTTTCTATCATGTGGTAGTAGAAAGAGATAAAGAAAGGTCTCTTATTGTCTCTTTCTTTCTATTCAGGATACGGTTTCCGGGCAAACTTCCCTACTCTATCTATAATAACTCTATGGGTCCACCACTCGCTGTGCAGTTTCGAGTGACTGCTAAACCTTTTTTTACTGCCGATCTCGTAGGTTTCAGGTCAATTCAACCGTGAATTTGATACATCATGTTTTCCCATCAAAACCACCGTAAAATATCTCATTGTCAGATACAGCAATACACTTGATCCCGCCCATGTATTAATTTCTACTTACGTATTTTTTCTAAGCGATAAAAATGTCTAATAACTGATAACGCTATATTCTATATGTATACCGTCTTAATGCGAATTTTCACCTACAATAATGTATCGAAAATTAAGTGCTATAAAACAGTAATCGTTGTAGTTGCTTATCAAATAAAATTGTTAAACATCAGTATGTATTGCTATAACATATCTGATTGTGAGATATTTTACGGTGGTGTTGGTGGATAACTTTCTGATTGATAAACTGACAGTATAAGTTTGATCCCAATCTTTTTAGGCACCCCTGTATTATAATCAACACATTTCAGTTCTATTCTATCCTCTAACATGTAAGACACATACGAAATAGAATAATTAAATTGTACCTTCGTCTGTTGATCGTACGTAGAAATACGAGACGCCACTTTAGAAATCAAGTCGCCAACACTATCCCAGTCACCATAGCTGAAAATTGAGTTATATGAATATTGTTTGCGCGATCCGTTATTATTGTTAATTGTTACATATCGTTTATACTTACTAATCGTGTAGTTGCTTGTACTCTTTCACTATGAAATTTATCAGGAAGTTCACTCCGGCTTCTCCGGAATTATAAATCGAAGCGAACGCAGTGTTAACGTCTTGTTTTCGAATACCAGGTTCAACAACTTTCCGCAATGAAGCACTTACGTACCTGCAGTAAGATGAAATTATAATTAAAATTTGAAATTGTTATTTTCTAAATTTCTAGATTGTAAGTAAACAAGATGTCAATGATAAAGAAGGGAGAGAATTTTTTCAAATTCTTATATTAAATATTGAAATAGAAAGAAATTACTAAACAATGGAGATTATGTGAAAATCCCTTTATCAGGCAGTAATTTGCTATAAAGTATTAATTTCATAGACATTTCTGATAAAGAAACAATGTAAAGAAATATGTAATATTTTCAAACATTTATGTATAAATCGCTATTTTTTGGAAACGATACATGATAAAGCAATTTTGCTTCCGGATTTGTTTTTGGCATGAAGAACTCTATAAAAATCACGTAGTGGATATTGCAAAAAATAAAAGAGCTTTTTTCGTTGGACTGTGCAACTGAGACGGTGGTGTTTCGTAACAGATATTATTACTTTGAGATGAACAGTATTATGAACTTACGATTTCAACGATGATTCGTTTCTCGCACAACCGAGAGCGTCTAACATGATCCTTTGTTCCGAAGCGAGGTTCGTTGACAAATATTGCTCCCACAGGAAATTCCAATTCGTATTATTGTCTCTTACGGCTGTACAATAAACAGCTGGTCTCGCGTTCGGTGAAATGCTAAAACAAAAATCATACATCAAACAATTGATTTAATATTATTTTCATAGATGTACGAGAATATACCGAGCGTCCAAACGATAGACTTAATACCAGGCGATTGAGACAAAGGAAATAAAAAACTTCTTTTTTTTCTATCGGCATGAAAGAGAAAGAGAGAAAGAGAGAGAAATTCCTCCAACGCATGTTTTCTCTATTTTTTATGGAATCAACAAAAATGCATTGCATGTTCGGTGTATTTTATTATATCTGTGCTTATTTGTCGACGTGATGCATTGCTTTAAAACAGGAATCCCCAATCCTTTTCTTGCATCGACCTCTTTTAAGGATGTATTGGCTATATAGTCAATTCCAAAAGTTTATATACCTTAGAAAAACGCATTTCCTATAATTAAAAAGAAATCAGGCGTCGGANTTATAAGTAGCTTTTTAATAGTAATAGGCATTTATACTAACAAATTCAACATGCTAGCATCGTTGAAGTATATAGCCTATACATCTTTAAAAAATTCTCTGTATCGACCCTCTTTCATTTTTTTCTATGATATGTAAACAGCAAACAACATAATCATAATATAAATAATAGTTAGTTATTTATAGATAACAATTAGCCAATAACAATAAAGATGAATTATTAGATTTAGGTTTTATTATCTATTGTACTACTATTATTTTCAATTTTACAAATATTAGCAGTAGAAAAGAAGCAGAAATATTCTTACTTGTTTTTCATTGTCCGCCGCCATTCATTGAACAAGTTCATAGCCTGGTTCACGCAGGATTCATGATCAAGCTTGCACATCCAAGTCAAGATCAGATCCCTACTCAGTCGATCCAGATGCTCGTCCATGTCATTATCCACGAAATCAAGTTCTCTATACAACTTCTCCGCCAAGTGTGTAATGTAATTTTTAACTAATTGTAGTCCCGCCTGTCCTTGCAGACGTTGAATAATAAAATTGATGCCGTTGAAGAATGCCTTCCAAGGTAGGTACTCCATTTCGTTCTTCAGATAAAGAGACCCTTTCAACGCGATGTCGTAGCTAACGAGGTCAGCTCTAGCCAAATTCAAGAGATCGTCGATGATCTGAGCTCGATTCGTTACATGTATGGAACTGTGATTGTGTTTGTTCAATGCGTCGATTAAACGCGACCAAGACTGTTTATCGTAATTCACGCGATAGTAGCCACTCTGTTGAACATTCACTATGAACCAGTCGCTGGATTTGTCGATTTGTTGGATTTCAGGATCTTTACTTAGCCAAATCGTCGGCAAGGTGTTTTCAAAGTTTCTTTTCGAGGCCGTTGTTAATGTAATGGGTATCCAAAAGTCGCCGGAGTTATCGCCAGTTAAATTTTTCTGAAATGTAATCGTTTTCCAATTTTATCTTTCCATGTAAACGAATACGAGGAAAATTTATAATTAGCGTGTTATCAATATTAATTAGTACTATTTTATCTCACATTTTATTGTAGTTTTATATAACACTAACACTATCATTTGTTGTATACTAATGGGTTTTATATAACTCGTATAGAAATAAATAAATAAATAACTAAAGCGAGGGTAATTCTTATAGATGAAAAGATATACGTATTGATTATATATCCCTATACGTTAGATTACGTGTTTACATTACTATTTTTTTGATAGCAATTGAAAGTTAAATACCTCAAATAGTAATTAATAAAAAGTTCGTAAAACTACTTTAAGCACTTCTAATGCGGTAATTCTTATTTGATACTTCATAATTGATATTATGAATGTAATATTTTCTATTTATTTTGCACAATGTAAATTTCGATATAATTATGTGAATGATAATTAAATATTTGCAAGATCTTTCAATTAAATACCCGACTATTTTTGGGCCGCGAGATCCCATAAGCCTATCACTCTTTATTAATCTCTCAGTGATATTATTAATAGAGGGAATTAACGTGCCGGAAGTGTTGGATCGGGAATCTGGAAATCAGTAGATTCTAGAATGTTCGAGAGTGTCCCGTAGAAATGTAACATGAGAGAATACGATGAAAACTAATTGTGTGACTTACGTATAAAGGATAGAGCTTGTTAAAAGATAAGTAAAAGATAAGGAATTATTTAATTGTTGGAAGAGTACCTGTTCCAATATTAAAGTGCCATTCATTGTCGCAAATACTATTGGATATCCTTTCTTATTGGTCCAACCGTCCATCAGTGTCGCAATAGACATGTTGTTCATTATTGAATCACTCATTTCTTCTTTAATTACAGTATCGAACGATTCCCACAAATCTTTTGGAGTCGCGGTGCTATACTGATGTTTGTCCAAATATTTGTTTATAGCTTTCTGGAAGACTTTCGGATTCAGTGACTTATATATCATTCGTATTACGCTGGATCCTGCAAATAAGTAACTTATCGTTGCAATTTTCCATTGAATATAATTCAAAACTTATAGATACTTAAATTGCTTACCTTTTCCATATGTGACAGTGTCGAAAGCTTGTTTTATTTCAGAGGGCTTGCTGACGGGATTCGTCATAGGATGCGTCGATGACGAACCATCGAATAACAAAGCTGGTTGCAGTTCATCAACGACGAATAGATCGTCGAAACCGAAACTAGGTTTAAACTGTAATTGACATACGTATAGAGATATAAAGTGCGACTCAGAACGTTTTTTAGTATTTATCAGAATGTTCCTTTTGAACAAGCTTTGATCCTATATTAAAACTCTACAACTTTGGGTTTGAATATCTTTACTTCTTCTCTTCTTTTAATACCATAACGAGTACTCAGGTCTCAAGCATGTAAAGAACGTATACATAGATCAACATTTATTTTAAGTTTTAAAGAAATGTAAGGAAATTGATTTTTACGTGAATGTCCTTAACCCATTTTCATCATTCGAAAAAGTGGAAAATTCGTCCACATCACCAAAATTCCGCGCATATATCAGCTTATAATCCAAATGGGTTAAGGTAGTTCTGTTGATAGAATTAACAAGATTTTTATGAAAGTTGGTATACTTTTAAGGCAGAGCTTTTGGAAAGACACGGTTTTGGAGACTATAGGTA